GGGCAGGCGGAGGAGCCGGGGAGCTCCGGGCGCGGGGGGGGGTCCGGGGGGGCTCTGAGCGACCCCCAAAGTGCAGCCCCCTCCCCCCGGGGGTCGCAGGCAGAGGCGGAAGAGGAGGCGACACGAGGGGGGACCCCCGCAGGGACCCCCGGGACCCCCCCGAACCGACAGCACCCGAACCTCCAGGACCCCCGAGGGGCGAACCTGGGAGGGGCGCCGAGAATTAAGCCCCCGAGCCCTAAAATTACCCCCAGAGACCACAGAATTCCCCCCAGGACCCCAGATCCCTCCACAGGATCCCAAAATCTCCCCAGAGACCCCAAATCCCTCCCCAGGACCCCAAAATCTCCCCCCTCAACCCTCCTCCCAGACTCCAAACCTTCCCCGCAACCCCAAAACGCCGCCTCAGAACCCTCCCAAACCTCCTCAGGACCCCCTCCCCAATTCCCAGAGCCTCCCCTCCCCCCCCAGGGAACCCCCCCTCACCGGGGGGGGGCCGAGGAGGAAGAGAAGGGGCAGGAGGGGGAGGGGCAGCAGCATGGTCGGATTTTTGGGGGGGGGTCCTGGACCGGGGGTCTCTCCTGGGCCGGGGCTCGGCGGGGTCTGAGCCCAGGGTGGCCCCCGGACCCATTTCAAGGGATCAAGCCCCGCCCGCTGTCCCTCAAGCCACGCCCATTGTCCCCAAGCCACACCCTCAGGGCAGAGAGTCCAGCTCCCCCCAAAAAAAGAGGATTCAGACCCAAAACCTCTGCAAATGGAATGATTTGGGGCCAGACGCTTCCCAAAAGGGAGCATTTAGCCCCAAACCCGCCCCAAAAATTGCAATTCTGCCCCAAAATTCCACAATCCAATGCAGGACAGGTTTCCCCCACAAACCACAGCATTCTCAGAGCTCCACATCAGCCTTTATTCACCCCAAAACGGGCCTGGAACTGCCCCAAACCCTCCCAAAATTCCCCCAAAATTCCCCAATCCCCCGGATCCACCTCCCGCAGCTGCGGCATTCCCGGGAATTTGGGATGGGGGGCAAAGGGGCGGGGGGTGTTTGTCCTCTCCCCCACTTCTGACGCCGGTCCGGCGCCGCCGATGACGTTTTGGTGACGTCACGGTGACGTCACTGCTGCTTGGAGCGCGGCCAGAGGCGCCCGGTGAGGGACCCCAGGAACGCCCCCGGGGGTTTCTTGCCTTGGGCCAGCTCCGCCAGGCGCTGCTGCTCCTCCTTGGGGAAAAAACACCAATTTTGGGTCAGGGCAGTGCCCAGGTGTCCCCTGACCCCTCCAGGTGTCCCTGTCACCTCCTCCAGGCGCGTCCGGCGCCGCAGGAACGCCGCCAGCGGATCGTCCTCCAGGGAATAATTCTCCAGCACCGTCCGAACGTCCTCGACCCCGCTCAGGGCGATGGCTGAAAATGGGGGGGACACGGAATTGGGGGTTTGAGAGATCTGGGGGGGGACATGAGGGGTTTGGGGGTTTAATTGGGTATTTTATTGGGGGATTTACAAAGGAGGTTTGAAGTTTTCTTTGTGTGGGGTTGATGGATTTTGGAGGGTTTGGATGTATTTCACGTGAATTCGGGTTGTTTTTGGATAGCTTTGGGCAAGGTTTTGGGATCTTTTCAGATATTTTAATAGGATTTTTAAAAATAGGGTATGATGTGACTTTTTTGTATAGGATAGTTTTAGGATATTTTGGGGTGTTTTAGGGGTATATTTTGGGGTTTCACCCACTCTTGAGGAAGGCAGCGAGGTCATAGAGCCCCCGATCCTCGGAGCTGCCATCCCAGCGCGGCAACGCCAAACCATTGTAGGGCTGCAGCTGGAACGAGTCCCGGCGCCAATCCACCACCACCACGCGTGTCGGGTCCCGGTTCAGGCACGAGATATCCTGTGGGGCAGACCCCAAATCTGGGAATTTGGCCCCAAAATGGGAAATTTAGGGTGTGGAGGGGGGCACATCCCGGACTCCAAACCTTGACGTGGTGCCCGTCCATGTAGCGCGTGGCGTCGCGGAAGAGGCGGTAGGAGACGAAACCGTGCGGGTCGATGCTGTCGATCAGCGGGAACGCCGTCTTGGGGGGGATTTGGGGTCATTTCAGGGGGTTTAGGGCCACCCCATGACCCTTCCCGAGGGGGTTCTGGGTGGGGATCCCCACACCCCAACAGCCCGTTGGGGATGGGGATGAACCTCCGCCCTCCGACTTTGGTTTTGGGGTGGTGTTTTGGGGTGGTTTAGGGTTTATTGGTGGTTTATTGGGGTGGTTCCTTGGGGTGTTTTTTTGAGTATTTTGGGGTGGTTTTCTGGGATGATTTTGTGCTGTTTCTGAACCACTGAACACCTCCAAACCCTTGAACTTTCTGAAATCCCTCCCCCAAAAAACCAAAACCCCCAGAAAAATCTTCAGTAGCCCCCCAGACCTCTTGAAAC